AACTATACCTTTGTGAGACACATGCAGTTTTTTCATAATATCTAGTATATTTCATATATCTATATATATATATTTTCATAATATCTGCTGGCACAACTAGTCGTTGTCCTCGACAAATTATTCCATCCTTTGTTGTATAAAGCTCTTCTTTGCAATGCCAGTAAGTTGTGCTGCTGGCCTTGTTTTGCTTCTTTCTGGCCATCCATTTTTTGATATGAAATAACACATCTTGCAATTCAGGGTCCTTTTCTGTCATTTTTACGATTTCCTTCCATTTTGTTGGAGAGGTTTGTGTTAACAGACTTACATTAACAGTAGGCTCTGAGCTAAAGGTGTCGTCAAATGTGTCAATAGTTGATTGTGCTGTGGACAGGCATCAGCTATTAGCATTTTTTTCCTGGGACATATTCCAATCCCAAATCATATCTGTTCACTTTGAGGAGTATGCGCTGAAGACTAGGTGAGATTGTATCATAAGGTTTCTTACTAAGGCCTAGTAATGGTTTGTGATCAGTCTGCACTGTTACACGTCTTCCGTACGTATAGTAGTTGAAATGTTCTAACCTATATACAACTGCTAAGAGTTCTTTTTCAATCTGCGCATACCTTTGCTGCGTTTCTGTCAATGATGCTGATCCAAAAGCCACAGGTTGATTATTTTGTAGGAGAACCGCTCCAATTCCATATTTACTGGCGTCTACTGACACAGTTACAGGTTTGCTTTCATCAAAATACTGTAAACATGGGGCTTGCACAATCATCTGTTTTAGGTGCTCATAGTCTCTTTGGATGTTTTCATCCCATAACCATTCGCTATCTTTTCTCAAAAGTTGCCTTAACGAATGAGTTAGACTTGACAACTGAGGTGTGAATTTTGCTAAGTATGTCACCATTCCTAGAAATCGCTGCAAGTCTTCTCGGCCTTTTGGTTCTGCAAACTTTTCAATCGCTTGGATCTTCTTTGGATCAGGTGCAATGCCTTTATCAGACAGTACATGTCCTAAATAAGTCACAGAGGTCCGAGATAGCTGTGTCTTCTCGATGTTAAATTTTAAATTAGCACTTCTGGCTATCGTAAGTGTCTTCCGCAACAACTTGCAATGTTCTTCGACAGACGACGATCCTAGGGCTAAATCATCAAAATATGGATTTATCTCGTTCTCATTGCTAAAAATCTCCTCCATGGCCCGTTGAAATTCCTCAGGTGCATTGTTCAGACCGAAAGGAAGAACCAAAAATCTGAATCTTCCCCAGGGCGTTGTAAATGTTGTCAAGTATGATGACTCCTCATCAAGCGGTAGTTGCCAAAATCCATTCTTGGCATCCAAAATGGTAAATATTTTACATCCTTGGAGTTTTGTCATAAGGGCTTCTGCTGTAGGGATTCGATAATGAAGTCTTTGAATATCCTCATTAAGCTGCCTTGGATCTAAACAAATTCTCAATTTCTTTGGAGTATTTATCACAACCATGTGGCTCACCCATTCTGTAGGCTCATCACCTTTTGCTGTGGTGTCAGTTTCAACCATTCTGTTTAGCTTCTGCTTTACTTTTCCATGCAAAGCAAGTGGCACTTTACGTGGTGCTGCAACATGAGGTGCGACATTTTCTTTTATTTTTATCTCTACTGTGCGATTTAGTTTTCCCACACCAGTAAACAACATCTGCAAATTCCTGTATCACTTGCTCTGGTGTCTCTTCATTTTGGTTTCTTTTCCTACTTGACTTGATACACTCTTTCAATCAGACCAAGTCTTGCAAAGCCTGAATAGGACCCAAGATAGAGATTCCAGAGTAGTGGTTACCAGAAATTTGAGAGTTTTTGTCTTTTTTTTAGTTTTACAAGTAAGGTAGCACTCACCTAGCATTGGTACTTGGTTGTCACTATAATCCAGTATATTGGTTGTCACTATAATCCAGTATATATCCTGGTTGTTTATTTTTCTTAATTATTGGTTTCTCACTCCACTTGAACAATTCACTCTTGGGCTCCAGTAACTCCAGTAACTTGTTAACTTGAGCTCCAGTATCTAATTTGAAGTTCACTTCGTTCTTATTTACAGTGATCTTTTGGTACCAGACTGATGCTTTATTTGTAGCCACCGCGTCAACACTTTTTACTTCCCCTAGGTAAATAAACTTCGAGTCGCTATCTTCCGTACGTTCAACGGCGTGCACTTTCTGTTTTGGTTTGGCGCGACACATTTTCGCCCAGTGATTTTTCACACCGCACTTTCGGCAGACCGTTCCGAACGCAGCGCACTTCTTTGGCTCATGTTTTCTCATTCCACATCGCTTGCACTCTTTTACTTGCGTTATCTGCTTGCGGGATTTGATTGATCGATGTTTGTTTTTTTCTGAGAGCGTCTACGGAGATTTTGTTCTCGTTCATTTCAGTGGCTTTTGTGCTTTGCTATGTTCGGCTGCCTTGCATTCACTGATGATATTCTTGCAGTAGCGTCTTTTTCGCTCTTATTTGTCTCTTGTATTAGCCGTTCTTGTAACCGCTTTATCTGAGATGCCTTGGCACTATTTTATCACGGAGCATTCTATCTTGCGCTTGCCCATAGTTGCAATCTACTATTGCACATCGTAGACTTGAGTAAAAGTCCGTGAATTTCTCTTGCTTTATTTCGAGAAACTTGAATGATGCATAAATCTCATTTTGATAATCTGCAAAATATTTGTCGAATTCTTGTAGCACTTGTTTCAAGGACACTTCACTGCTGCCCGCTTCTGGCTTCAAATCAAACGATCGATATTGCTTTTTTAATTCGTCACCGCAAACATGTCGAAAAGACGCAGTTTTTGTGCTTTCCGACTCTTGGCTATATCTTAATGCCTCGATATAGTCCTCAAAGTCTTCCTTCCAGTGTCTCCAAGCTTCAGAAGGGTTCGATCCAGCGTCAAACGGTGACAACATGGGCAGGTTATGCGCCATTTTTGATTCCAAGTTTTTCAAATGCACGTTAATCCTTAAAATATCAATTTATGCATTAAATTCGTGAGCATGGTTAATTCTGACACCATGTTATATATGTTGACTCGTCAAATATAGATAAATTACTGTTTATTTATAAGATTAAATTAGATTACTTTATACATAAGAGAGACATTGATGCTACATGGTTGTCGGCAAGTGATGAGAGTGTGTCGCAGCACAAATACCGTGCACTTGCCTAGCTAGTCAGGTTAGAGGCACTGCCATCTATCGGCAACCAAAATAATTAATATCTAACAAAGATGACACAAAAGGCTACAATTCCGCTCTAAAAAAAAAGAGCCGTTCAGAGTGGGGTTTATCTCAGCTAATGGAGTCAGTTCCATGTGTTGACCAGCTCCGCTATGCGTGCAGTTCAGATTTTTCAACTCGCATGGGGAAAACTGGTTTTGGACATGGGTCAGCTAAGTCAGTTGTGTCCTTTAGCTCAGATAAACCGCAGTCTGAACATCCCTTTACACTCCAACTCAGCCTTGGCCTTTTCATTTTGATGTACCTTGTGTTGTGCAAGCTAAGCGGTGCATGGTCACTCCCTGTCCTCTTTCCCCTGGAGTTCCACAGTACAGACAGTTCCATGTCATGAGACATAGTGGAACCATTACATCGAGCTGGACAAACTGCACATTCATGTGGTATTCACGGCGATAACGGAACACGCAATCAGTCCTATCACCGGCAATTAAACCTTTGTCTAGCCATACAAGTTCAGCTATTTTATTCATTTGGCCATAGGTGAGACTATGATAGGTACAATTACCTTTGAGATGTTTGTGACAATCCATGTATGCTTTTTTGAAATCAATTAACTGAACTTTTAAGACTTGTTCAGAAAATAATATTTATAGCACACCAATGTTCATCTTTCTGAAACTTAGATTTCTTGAACTAAAATTTTCGACAAATTGGCCCTTTCTCGAATCTAAAATTATTTTCTTTACCTTCCTTTCTTGAGAAGTCAAAAAATCAGATAATATCCTTAATGCAGTAAAGGTCGTAACATGCAAAATAACCCTAATGCCCTTTGTGAAATTTTGAAATAGTTTATATTATGATATTTTAAAAGAAGCATGCTTTCTTGTGGTGATTATAAAATGTATTTAAAAAAAGAAAGCGAGCTAATACATAGTGATAACATTTGATGGCAGCATTCTTTTATTTGAAAAAGAACAAACATAAAATTGAGCACTGATACTAATACATTTGATTGTTTCATAACGACAGCTTGTCTTCATAATGAGCTTATTTCCATTACATTTAGTATAATTCCAAGAATACATTTAATACTTATAAATCTAATAAGTTGTTCTTAATCACATACTTGTTTTAAATACTAATTTTAAGAAGTTTTAGATAAAGTCAATATATTTTTTTATGAAAGTTTGTTCAGAGCTTCAGGTAAAATATCACTTCTGGTTTATCAATTTCAGTCAAAATCTAAAATGTTGTTCCCATTGATTTAAAGCCTTAAATACTAAAAAGTTTTGGATTATATTTTAATACAGTTTTTCATTAAAACTGTTATGGGCTTCAAACAAAGTACCACTTCCCATTGTCCATCAAAAAGCTCTGCTGGCTTCCCATAAAGCACCATTTCTGGTTATCCAATTTTACTCAAAATATAATCAACTCTTCATGTGAATTCAAAAAGCTTAAATATGGAAAACGGACATTTTTTGAAGTTCCTAAGTGTTGAAGTGGATGACAAAATCATCGCACACGTACACACGTGCAGACAAACATCATTGTAAAAATAGTAAAAATGTATTGTGGGAACCCTAATTCCTGCTTATTCTCTGAAAACTCAGTATCAAATTTTTGGATTGAAAATATTACCCTCATTCTCTATGCATATAAGTTAATGGGAAGTAGAAATCTCTGAATTACATTTAGTCAGAACTGAATTGAAAGCTGCATTTATCTATAAAGATGTTGACATATTCAGGCTCATTATAACAATGTAAAAAAAAAAAAAAAAAAAAAAAAATTACACAATAAGATATTTGCTGCAAATGGTGAAATATATTTTTATTACATAATTTGATTATTTATTAAGGACATTGTCAGAGTGGTTCAAACACTAATAAATTCATACTTTCTACAAATTATCCATAATTTGAACTGAACTTACAATCTTAAACCAATAACATGCAGTGGACTCCTGTTAATTTGAACTTTCACGGCCTAGTAAAATTATTTAAATTATCAAAAGCTACTTTAAAATATGAAAATAAAAACTGGACAAATAAAAACTAAAAAATATGATTTTTATGCATTTATTTTTTTTTTATTTATATTAGTAATTAGCTGTACAGATTTGTACATCACAACATAAAGAACTTAAAAATAATTCTGCATTAGTCCTATTAATTTTAGACATTTTAGCTGGTTTTCTTCATTTGAAAATGGGCATTATATAATTCTCTGTTTGATGAATATTGCATGAAAATGAGCATATACATGTATTCAGTTGACTGTGCAACTGATCTGTTGCCATTAAACAATGCAAAATGTAGAATTCCAGGATTTTGTTCAAATTATCCTAAATTATACAAGAAGTTCCACTTAATTTATTAACATTTCTTCTTAACTGAGGTTTTTTAGCTTTGTTCACATTAACTAAAATTTCGAATTAATGAGAGTTCACTGTAAATATACATAATAAACTTCAATACCATATACACAATTTATAATTTTTGAAACTTTTCCTTACAATAAGAAGATATTACACTAAAAACATAAAATGAAACATTAAAGCTTTTTTTTTCATAAAAAGTAATTAATAAAATATTAAGTTTGCACACTCATATATCACGTAAACGAAACACAATGTATAATGTTAAAATATAATATATACAAATAAAATATGCAAATGCTTTGTGCTATTAAATACTTCTTTTATCACATTATATTTCACACCACCCATTAGGTAACATATTTCATCATCTGTTCACAAAAACGAACATAAAAAATTTTTCAATTTTAGACCTTGTACAACATACCCATTATAAATTTGCATGCTGAAGACAACAAATGCTTGGAAAATCTAGTAAAAATTATACTCCCAAACTTTATTAAATGTATTAAGTTGCATGAATTAATATATAATTGAAAATATCCTTTAAAATATTTAATAATGCAGGAAATCTTTCACAAAATTTACTCAAAATACCCTTTTTTACATTCCTGAAGTACAGATGATTCAACCAGCATAGTAGTGGCTTTAATAAGTTATCACAAATATGATAATAATTTATAAAACATTTTTAACATAAACTCTAAAATGCTTCCAAGACAAGGAGGGATAGTCATATTAGAGAATAATGGTAACCTATTCTCTTTTCTCCCATATAAACAATATTTATACATTTTAATACAATTTATTTGAGAAAAACTTTCTCAGAATTGCATTTAAACTATTTCAAAGAATTTTACTAAAAAATGATGGATCACAGACATAATCCCAGTCAGAAAATGGTAACTACAGGCAACTCTCCAATAACACTATATGGTTTTGCTCTTGTATGATTGAAAAACTATTGAAAACTTTGGATTAATGAAATGAAAATCATCCAGAATGAACTAAATTCAGAAAATTACAGTAACTAAGAAATTTCCATGTACCAAAAACCATATTAATTGAAAATGCCTAATTCACATCATGCCATAAAGGTCACCATAAAATTCATTTGATAATTCTAAAAAAGCACGTAAAACTGTAACACTTATTTAAGTGTTGACATGTTTTATAGATTCTTATATCTATAAAACATTTTTTTTCATTATCACTGAGTTATTGTGCAATTTTTAAGACATTAACCATGTGTTAATTAAAAGCTGCATTTATCTACGAAGATGTTGGCATATTTATCCCGTCTACTATTTTACAAACAGGTGCATATATTTAAATTAAATAGCAATTAGAATAAACTTATATATAAATACAATAAACTTATATATTAATACAATAAACTTAAAAAATATATATGCATAAATTACCATATATTCTGGCATATAATGCACATTTTTAATACAAAAAAATGAGATCGAAATTTACAAGTGCATGTTATATGCTGGATAAAAATTGACACATTTAAAAATGAGGCAAAGAAGAGCATACAGATATTAGATTTCTTACATAAACCTAAATGCTGTTTCTTTAAAAGAAATGACACAACTTATGAACTTAAAAATTTTCATTGCCAGATAATTTTTAATCATCGGATAATTTCCTTTACATAAAGCATATTAATTATTGTGCTTTCATTCATTCAGAGAAATTTATATCCGACTCCTAATTCCGTAAATTCATTTGGGTCAGAAGTGCATTCTAACCCAAAATTAAGTTTATCTTTTCTCAAAAATCTGGAGTAACATTCTTGTGCACACCTGCATTGAAAATCACCCACCACCTTTGCAAAATTATTTTCTCCCTCAAAAATTCCCCCCCTCATACATATTGTTACACTTTTTGTTCATCAATTCAGTATACCATTGTTCCAAAGTCTGGGAAAAATCTCCAAATAAATGAAAGAGAAGAGCATCACACATGTATCTCTCAGGTATTTCTTCTTACAGAAAAGGGTGTGCATTATACAGCGAATATACTTAAAAATTTTAAAACGTAGGTTGAAATTTTAAGTGTGCATTATACACCGGTATGGCGGAATATATGGCAAATGTTTTTGTCAATTCCTGGAGAATATCCTCTTCCTTTCCATACTAGTTTTCAATCCTACGTATCACAGTTTTGCATTACATAACACTATACAAAAATCTAAACATTGTGTTATACAAGGGCAGCCTGTATCTAAAAACATAAACATCTATCATATTTAAAAATTAACAAGTTGTTATATTTTTAAGCATAACAAATTTATATTAGCTGAGAATAATTATAATAATAACAACAATTCAAATGGAACCTGCATTCTACTTTCTAGGTAAATAATAATTACCTACACACACGCACATAAAAAATTTTTAACCTGTAATAAATTTTCTGAATACAAGAAGTGAATGAAAAATCTCATCAACACAGATGAATTAAGTATCTGAGGCTCTTAAAAATACTATAGATAAATAAGCAAAACATACCACATGAAATTACTTTTCATGCAGAAATGCACAAACTGTAATAATAACTAAGAATTCCTGAAATAGTAAATTTTGAATTCACAATGCACAAATTTTATGATATTGGAATAATTTCCATTTACTGCATTGTAACAATTCAGAATTTATAATAAATAAAATATGTTGCAGAAAAATGACAGGTTATGAATATATATCTAACCCTCAGTAAAATATACCATTTCCATGGTCCCTTCTCAGTATTCATAAAACCATAGACATCACATACTTAAAACAATATACCTGAGAATAAAATTTATATAAATAAAATCACATAATACCATAACAAATAAAATCACAGATAGTACTCGAATAAATAAATGTAATATGTGAGAATAATATATAACAGCTTATATGCCAGAAATAAAATAATAATAACCTTTAAAAAGTATTCCTTAACACCAACTGGTATTGAGTCAGTTTTGATGTAAAACATATTAAAATACCACATATTATTACTTATTTCTACATCTACACAAAATGTAAATATTATTTTTAATTATGAGAGTGGCATTTGATCAGCAAATTCTATTTTGGTCAGATTAATTTCCTCCATTTGAATAGCAAATAAATACGAAAACATTAAAAAAAAAAGATCAAATATTCAAAGCATTTATGACAGCTATTTAACAACTTATGTATTTTATGGATTAGTTTTCTTTTGTGTTGTATATACATAGCAGTAATGTGTAAGAGTGCAACAGGCTATCTAGTTTAAAATATTAATAAAGAATTCATTTGTACATTACATTTCCCCCCATAATGTATATAAAATGTCAATTTGAATATTTGAAAATGCGACATTGCCTAATTTTAAACTACTGATTTCATGGATAACAGTGTTAAATATGTAATAACAAATAAATAAAATAAATAAATATCTAAAATAAACTATAATTTTAAGAATAAAATCAGTATGTATAAAAAATGTAACATGTGTTTTAAAAATGACTATCAAAATATCAAAAGATATTTTACTTGAATTAGATATAACATAAAACACAGATAAATGCATGACTGAGTGCCTCTTTTTTTTTTTTTTTTTTTTTTTATCTGCAAAGAAACTTTAAACCTTCTTTTTTTGAGTTTCCAAAAGCTATTCTTGAGATTAAAACTTCCCCCCCCCCTCTCTCTCTCTCACATGGCACTATTAAAAATCAATTAGATGTCAATTAAGTTTCTTTGAAACTATTGATTAGTGTTTGTTCACAATGAAACTAATATAAATTATATGCTATAATTTAAAGTTATTAAAGGATTATAAACTTCACCTGTGTTCACCATACGTTTTCCTGAAATATTTAGGAGAGACATTACATGGTCAACTCCAATAAATATCAGTAGATACTTGTTAATTTATCAACAGCTTTAATATTAATATAACATATTTTTCCTCTTGTAAACTACTTTTTGGTGTTTTCATTTTTAACTCTCACAAAACTTTCATTCAATTTTTAAATTCATTTTGCAAAAGGACATAATTTCTACCATCTTAGGCACCAAAAGATGTAGCTTCAGTTCAAAGAAAGCTGTTTAGTGGAAAAGAGTCAATGTTTACATAGTTTGACATTTTGTAAAAAATGAGTTTTTAAATAATGTACCATAAATATTATAAAAGTTTAATAATAGTGATTTTCCTTTTCCTTTTAAAAATTCATGTGTGTTTTAAAATACTTGCCTTCCAAAATACAAACTAAGATATGGATATAGTGTTTTTAAATGTTCAATTAATATATTAGATAAAATAGATGAATGAAGAGGAAGACTTTCTCACACTACACAATTGAGAAAATACAAATGACAAGGACTAATTAATCAGCCACAGCCAAAACACAGCTTGTATTAGCTGAAAAATGAATGACAGGCAGAGTATGTGCAGTGTGGGATTTGGAGGGGAGGATGACTAAATGATTTTTAATATGCATAACTGCATGTTCCAAACAAACATTTATTTTTTAGGATCCAATAAAAGATTTTTCAAGAATAACAGTATTAAAAATTAAAAACTGAAACTCTAGCAATCTCAGAACATAATTTACTCTGAAACTTCATTTGGAAAAAGTACAGCAAACATTTTAATAGAATTTTATATTTTTTACCTATCTGAAGAAAAATACCCCAGTGATTTTCAAATGCTGTTCATGATGTCTTTTTTTAATGCATATTTGAAAGCACCATATTTTTCCTCTTGTGAAAGCTTAGAAAAATTAAATAATAACAAAATTTTCAAATAATCATCTTGTTTTTACAATATTTTAGCCAGTTAACACAATCCTTGACATGCTGTCTTAGCAACTGATAATACATCTATAACATTAGAAACACAAATAGATGCACTATATTCAGAAATCAGGCTCTAATGTTTACATTAAAATGTTCTAATAAATATCTTTTAGACTAGAAAACAAATGTAATTATATCAGTAGCAGTTGTAATCTAGATCATATTTCCGTCACTAATACATGTTAAATTATGTTTGCAGCCCTTCGCTTACTGTCAGGTTACACAATTTTTAGCATATTGCTTTTGAAGGCATATGGTCCAAAATCAGAAGTCTGAAAGGTATCTGTATGGTAACTGAAGAATAATATGCTTAGCTGCCCTCCCCCCCCAAAAAAAAGAATGATGATGATTTTATACAGCAATTGTTTGAAACCTACTTTTATGGAATATTAGACTAAATATTAACTTAACAAAGAAAACAGAACTGTATATTATTTAACTATTCCCCAGAGTGTTATGTAATAAAAAATAAAGAATGATTTTTATAGGCAATAAGTTCATTTTAATTTACTCAATGTGTTCAATTTAATATTTTAGATGTAATTTATATGAATAAATGTGTGGTTTCATAAAAATTATGAAGGTTTAGCAATAATATATTTTGCTCTTAACTTTTAGCACTCTAGTTTTTTTTTCATATTTGGAAGGCATCAAATTTTTGATGTTGTCATATAAATGCACATTTACAAGAAGTTTCATGCTTACAATAAAAATTTATGACATGAACGGAAGGTATGACAACTGAAACAAATACCACTCTTCATATATTTTGTGGATAGTTTATTCTTTTTATAATTAACCTTCATGATTATTTATATCACCTGCTCCATCTGCTGCAGTATTCTCATCTATGAAATTATATACATGTTTTAAATACTCTTCTCGATATGTGACCATGTGCTTGACGTGAGCAGAATCTTCAAACAAAACTACTTGCACATCAACTCCTTTCTTCTTACGACCATCTGCAAATTCCTGAATGGTATCCCAACAACATACATTATCTGCTTTAGAAAATAGGAACAACTGGGGGCATATGTTGGGTTCTTCTAACAATGCATTCCATAGACGATAATAGTTAATTTTACCAGTGAAAAAACTCAGCATGGCGCTATATACACCAAGAAGAGTAGCACGTAGTAGAGCAACAACTGCAATCATGTATTTTTTGACAATATTTCCTTCTGTCATTGCCAGCGTAGCCCTGACGAAACCAGATGCTCTCACTTTAGCAGGACAACTGTCAAAAATGCAACCTTTAATCTAAAAATAAACAAAGATAAAACACATATAAAATCCTTTATGAAATTTATTCTAATGCATTAAAGCTTACTGAACTATTACAAGTTACCAATACAGTGTTTTTTTACAAATATAACCTGAAAGAAAAATTATTTCAGAGACTTTTAAATATATTAAAGAGTTAATTATAGCTTATAATATATTTTTTAAATATTTCATTTACATTCATTTCCGCTAATAGATTAGTTAACATTACATTCTTCATTCTTAGTCTTATATTTCAGACTGCATTCTTAAAATCATGTTCCACTTCTAGTTTACATTATGTTTAGCCTCTTTCATAAGGACTATAAACACAGTTTCACACAAGTATCATGCGAAAGAATATAAATATTATAGAGACATTTTTTACATACAGAAGAATTAATTCTGTACATGTTTTCTTGAAAAATTAGTGATTGAGAAAAAAGGAATACAACAGCCTCAAATTCCATACCAGCAAAAGTTTGGGCCTCACTCCTAGTGCTTAAGCCATGCTAATAGCCTTAAGGTGCACTTTTTAACCACACCCATAAATATTTATGATACTGCTCATAGCCCTACTACAAAATTAGAAACAGAATACAAAAATAAACTAACCAACTTGTTAGATATTACTGAGAATACAGCAAAGATACATTTAAATTCAAAAATAAATAATCCAAATCTGCCATAAATGTAAAGGCAGGTAGGAGGAATGTAAACAAAATTTTTTAATTTGTAAATTTTGTAATGGAATCTGTGTGCAGATATAGTGCAAGTTCTGGAATGTACGAAACATATGAACAAGTAAGGAAGGTGAAGCAAAGTTAAAAGAAAAAAATCTTTTAATGATTCAGCTTCTTATAGCAGGTAAATTTCTTCACAAAATCCGTTAATTGGAAAATTTCACCTTTGTTTTGCGATATCCGAAAACCTTCAAAATTAGCGGCTATCATCGTCAAATTTAGCTATCCTTCAATACATACTTGGCTATGCACCATGAGCTTGGCAACTAATGATAAATTGTTCCGTTAAATATTATCTCGTTTCTATCGCGCACTGAGACAATTATGCCTGAATTGTATTAGTTTAATTATTTATTATACTTATGTCTATATCTCAGCCTATGATAGCTCTGAATAGATAAATTCCCACATATAAAGTCTTTTTGAGGGCCAATGCTAGATATCTTACCTCCTGATGGTTCCTCAGTGGGTCCTAAATTCTGCAACTCAGTGCGGCCATACGAGCCCTGGCGCTGGTTTTGGATTTATGAGAAAAATAAATCAGTTATTCTTAATTCAAATAGCCCTAAATGTAATCTTTGGGTCCATGAGTATCATAAAAAAATCTACTTTTATAGCATATGGAAAGAAATTTTTGGTAAATTTTTCCTCGTCAGCACTTTTTAGCACATCTAACTTAAATCTGTAATTATCAACCAAACGTAATGTCAACATAAAAGGTTACCATACTCCTTTATTATTCAATTACTAACATAAAAAAAATGTCTAGGCATCTCTACATGAGTCATTAGTCAAGTTGTCATGTTTTATAAACATGCGGTGATGAAAGGAAATAATAGAAATAATGATTCACCAGGTTGGCATCAGATCAATGATGTAGCTACGTGGAATGTTTTGGTTTGAGATGGGTGCCAAGCAGATACGCAGCAACGGAGCCAAATCATTGATCGTACAAATTTATGCTAAAATGATTGTTTCTTTAATAACAAGGCATTTAATTTAGTGCCAAAGTAAAATTAAGAATCGGAACTCTCCAGATGTTACCAGGAAAACGTTGTTGGTGGTTTTGAGGTCCAAATTTTAGATCATTCGGGATAATGGACATCCGCATTTCGGACTTTGTACTGTATAACTACAAATAATAGGTTCAAAAGTAGAGGCAATTAAGAATGAGACACGGCAAATACTTTAAAAAAAATGAAAACTGCACAAAATGTATTCTCATGTAAAAATAAGTAAAAGAATTGGCAGACAAGAAATTTATTTTACTTGGCTTCTCAGATTCCCTTTGGTATCACTGGATATATATTGGGTTGGAAACTAAGTAATTGCAGATTTTTTTTAGAAAATCAAAGACAATTTTTTCATGGAACTAAATAACGTTATTCTGTAATGTATTGCCCATTTTGATCAATGACCTTTTGCCATCTTGGCATCATCCCAGCACATTCATAAAACTTCTGGTTTTATTAGCAAAAAACTGAATCACGGTACGATTTGACATCATCATCATTATTGAAATTTTTACCATTCAAGGAGTTTTGTAAAGATCGAAACAAAAAAATCAGATGGTGCAAGGTCAGGACTATATGGTGGATGTGGCATAACATCCCAACCAAACCAATAATTTTTGCCAGTGACCAAATATGTGTGTGGCCTTGCATTGTCATGATGGAATACAACACCTTTTCGATTTGTCAATTCGGCCGCTTTTCTGCATTTTTTTTTAAACTGCATTGTTTAATTATGCAGACATTTTGATTTCGGTTTGGGTGGTAAGAATTCAAAGTAGACAATTCCTTTGTAATCCTCTGATAACAAAACCTTCTTTCTTTTGATGAATATCAGCTTCTTGATGTTGCTTTGAGTTGGTTGGTTCACCTGGCCTGCTCCACGATCTTTTCCGCTTGATATTGTTGTAAACAACCCATTTTTCATCGCAGTTATCAGTCGTTTTAAAAATGGATCATTTTCATTACGTTTTTCTTTAGGGATTTAGCAAATCGCAGCTGTTAATGCGTTGCGTTAAATGCGTTTCTTTCAGTTCGTGAGGAACCCATGTATCGAGTTTTTGAACATAGCCAAGTTGTTTTAAGTGATTTTCAATGCATGTATGTGATACATGAAGCTTCTCTGCAATCTCACGTGTTGTACTGTGACGATCCGAATCGATTATTGCTTTGATTAGGTCGTCATCAATCTTCAACTGGATGGACCAGAGCGTTTTTCATCTTTGAGTGAAAAATCACCACCAAAATGAAATTTGGCAATTTGGCAAACCAATTTTGACACTGCCGTTCTTTTAAGGCTTCGTCACCATAAACAGCACATAACTTTTTATGAGCTTGCGATCCGTTTTTTCCCTTTGCGGAAATAAAAAAGCAAACTATGACAAAAATGTTCCTTTTGATTTTCCATTTTTCAACGAACGCCAAACGAAAACTACGCAACCGATCAAAAAAACGTTTTTTACTGATTGACAGCTGAATTGCCAACTATCAAATAACAAAATGTGTTTTACATTTGTACTACGCCTGCAACCCTAAAAATTCAACTGAAGCCATCTATGAGTGAAATCCGCAATTACTTTGTTGGCAACCCAATACATTACTATAATTACCGTAATTTCGCACGTATAGTCCGCACACACGATTTTATATAAAAAAAAAAATTAAAAAATTGTCAGATAGTCCGCACCACCGGATAGTCCGCGGACTATACGTCCGAAATTACGTTTTTTTTAATACGGCAATATTCCCATGCTTTTTTAAACACAATCCTTTGTTTGCGCAAATTTCTCACCGCTTTCTTGTCCACTTCAGAATAACGGAGTAAAATCCTAGTAAAACCTAGTTACGGTGCAGCCTTGGCGGCGACTTTGAAAATTATCGCCAACACCAAAATGATCCAAAGAACGTCTATATATATACTATACACACATAGTATATATACTATATACATAGTATATAACTGTATATAGTATATACTAGTATATACTATATACATAGTAACATAGTATATACTATATACATAGTAACATAGTATATACTATATACATAGTATATACTATGTTTAACTATATGTTTTCTTTGAATGACCCGTTAACTACTCATCGTATATGTCCCGTTTTTACTGCTCATCATAAAGTCGCCAAAAGTAGTCAAATCCCGTGTGCACCGGATACTAGGATTAAACCAATAATGGCCCGCTTCTCCATTTCCATCTTTTTCAGTTTTCTCAACTACTCTCAGCAGTAAATCTCCGGCAATGTTTCATCAACGTTAGCGAAGATGAAAGACAAAATACGAAAACAAAATACTGTGCAACGTGCTATCCTCGTGATAAGTGGTAATGAAATGTGACCTGACCTCACTCACTCGGTGTTGTCAAACCACGCTATAAGTAAACGAATCACGTTTTTTTTTTCGTACTCCAGGTACTTGCTACTATGGCTCCTAAAAACCGAGTTGACGCATCGACTACTTTTCCCCCTCCCGGCAAGGATTCCAAGTATCCTTCGCACTAAAGCAGTGCGAAGGATACTTGGAATCTCACGCTTTTTTTATATTTGATCATCGGCAGTTCACGACAGCGTGTTTTTTTTTTTAAATTTCAACAATTTTAACCGTGAACAACCAGCGTATTGTCCGCACTGGTGGATAGTCCGCAGCTTCAAAAATTCGCATTTTAAACACAGATAGTCCACGGACTATACGCGCGAAATTACGGTAAGTATAAATATGGACCTTGATTATCTGAACTGAGAAGGACAAAGATAGTTCAGTTGACTTACTCAATATAGCTGATTTTCACATCTTAAAAATGACTATTTTATGCAAAGCATTCATCCTTCAACATTAGATTAAGTGATTTAATTAAACAGAAATTTATCTTCAAGCTTTAACTCTTTCACAACCAATCCGCCTGACACGGCTCTACATTGAAACAACCAGAATTGCCCCAAAACGGCTGAGATTGTAATATTGTTTTTTCCCTCCTCCTAAGGTATGCAATAGCAGGTTCAGTTTCCCCAAATGCATTGTATCAGTTTACTGCAGACAGCTTGTATTAAGAGATTTCTTATCTTTTGCTTGTTCGTGACATTTCGTTGTTGATTCTTTTGTGGTACAGTGTGCTTTTAAGCTTTAAACAGCAATAAACTTGCAGTTTAAAAATTTAAGGATTACATTTATTTTTAATCAATTTATTCCTCCCTATAAAAATAAAGGAAATAAGAAAAATCTAAGTCATCAT